CCCAGTTTAAGTATTACTTTAGGTACGTCTTCCCTATCCGCTTACAATTATGGACCAGCAGAACAGGGAAGAGTTAGACAGTAAAAGCTCTTAAATAACATTTCAATAAAAAAATCACCATTGGATTTCTACGTCAGCCATTTAGCACATGGAAATACAAGAAGTTAAAACACTCAGTGAAATACACCAGTTGCCTTTGGCGTTAGTAGGAGAGGAAGCACCACAGTTGTGGCTAAGAACACGTAGAAGAGAGAATTATTTAAATGTGTTTAGCCTTTGTGAGTTTGAAGTAGCATATTTTCTTTTTAAAGGGAATATATAAACTTCTAATGCAAATGTAGTGGCAGTTTGTAGGACAGTTATACTGAATCTTATTTACAACAAACTACTGATGGATTTGTTTTTTCAGTGATGCTTTCCTTTCTCAATTGTTTTTTTCCAGGCAAGAGCTAAATAGTTGTCTCAGTGAAAACCAAGCTACTGTGTGAAAACGATACAGCAATACTCAGCAATCAGACCACAATGTATATATACACCTACGGCAGTGTGCTTGGGTGTGGCTTTGAAATGGTAGAACAGCAACTGGGAGATTCCACCCGTGATAAAATCGGGAATAGGGACTAGTGTCTGTAGTTGTCCCCAAACGGATTTTGCATTTGGATTTTGACGTGAAACATATCAAAGGTTTTGTGCCTTAACACAGGGTTGGGATTGCCTTCTTTGGGAGCGCTAATCTCCCTTCTGGGAAGGAGGGGGAAAAATAAAAGGCCATTTAAACAACAGACTGTCTTTTGGTTGGAAATAGTAAAGATAAATGAAAGAATGGTAGCAAAGGATGAAAGTACTGAAAGCATACTCTTTTCTGCATCATTAACATGGGACATTTTAAATCTAAAGCATCCTCTATTAGCAGGTTGCTAAAAATACTGTGAAATTGGAAGTGGGAGAATGAGTACAGTTTAAAAGCACTATAATTTTTTCGTTTCTAATCAAATACAATTTTGTTGCATTAGGATACTGCTAGTGGTATACAAAATAATTTGTTTTGTCAAAAAATAAAATACACTCTTGGATAAGTATTATTCACCATCTGTATGCTTTTATTCAGTTCTAATCCATAGATTAAATGAATACCCTAGAGATTTTAATTTGCTCTAACAACTTAATTTTTTTGCCCCAGCCTCCTTCTGTGGGATGTTCAGGTTCTTGCTCAGAAGTTCCTGGGTATAAATAAGTGTATGTATCCAAACGGCAGATAAAGGGAAGCAATAGAGCATGTCACGGCCACAGAGATGAAGTTGAGTATTTTCAGATTTGTAACCACCTCTGGAGCAGCATTTCTTTGCCTGAGCTTAAACAGAGGAGTTGTGTAAATAAAATCACTTAAATATAGAAGCCCTTGAGGAAAATATTACATTGATTCACACTTATTCTGTTGGTTTCTATCTGCAGACTTTCAAAATAAAAGCAGCAAACAATTACGTGGTTGCTTCACAAAAGATTAGTGAAGTGGTATACACACATTCTATCCCTTCCTGCAGTTAGGCACTTTTGGAACCTCCAACATTTGTCTTTATACATTATGGAAAAATAAAACTATTTTTAACTTTGATCAGTGGGTTAGAACAGAATTTTGGTTTCATCCTTGGGTAACATCATAATTGCAGTGGAACTCCAAGTACAGCTACATTTAACTCTGATGGATGTTACTAAAACATGGCCAGAGAACTGACAACAAGAATAACTACCCTGCTGACTCCAGATTCCCCAAGAGAGTCCTGTCAGATAGGATTTATCCTAAGGAAATATCAGCTGTCTATATCCTAAAACAGAACAACAACAACAAAAAGCTATGGGAATGTATTTCAATATTATGGAACGAATAGGTGTCACAGTCAATCCAGGCTGCTTCTCATTCTGTAGGCACATTTTAGCTATCCTACAGGTTAGCATTCCCAAAAATAAATTTTGCATGTCCTGAAACCAAGAATGGTGGATCATAAAAAGTCATGTTTCTTCCTTTGGGGAGTCAGGACTCGCTACTAGCAAATAAAATGCTCTGTTTTAAAAAAATTCCCTGATTCCCAATTTTCATTATTCCCCTTTACCTTTCATGTGATGCAGTTTTTTGTCTCACGGATCACAAACCGACCCATTCAAGAAAGCAGGCAATACTCCAAAATCCCAGAATGAACATGGACTGACTACCTTCCTTCTTACACACCAACTTCAGAGTGCAACTTGTTACTTAACACAGGAGAATTGACCAGCAGTCTTTAAGCTTGACAACGCAGCCCTGGGAAAGGCTTCATTTGTCACATTTCATACGCAGCACATTTACAAAGTCACTTTTCAGGTTCCTGTACAGGGCTTTGAAACAAGAGACGTTTGATTGCACCTCTTCAAAAACAGTGGCGCAGCATAATTCTTTTGAGAAGAGCCACTATTAAGTGCAGCTGTACACCTGTAAGAGTAGGAGAAGGCTTGAAGGAAAGCAATGCAAAAGCTCGTAGAATTTAGACTTTGGCTTAAGGCTTTGAAATTTGAGAAAGCAGTCATGAGTGCTTTCTTTCCAATGTAAGATAACAACGTGAAGACTGAAGTCTGTCAAAGTCTGGACATGGGAGGGAGGGCAGGCAGAGAGGACATTTTCTTTGGTGAAGGAAAATGTATTGCCTACACTGTCTGGTCTCTGCTGATCTTACTTAAAAGCTGAACTACTGGAAAATGAACATAAATTATTTCCACAATCTGGTTTCCAAAGTCCTCAACCACTTCCTTTGAGCCTGTATGCTCCACATTTGGAATTAGGATGGGCAGGCATTAAAAAAGCTCCAGATGAGCAAGACTGAAATGCACCGAAATTCAGTGACTCGTTCTGCCATGGCAAATCTCCTGTCCTGCCGTGACCTGCCTCCTCAGGAATCGCCCTCAGTTACAAGGTACTAAATCAAGTGGAAGCCCCTTAGGATCAGACCTCCTTCCTCTGCACTTGGAAGCAGTGGCCCAGGGGCAGCCCTACTTGCAGAATGCTGGCTGTATGATTTAAGAGGCTGGAATTACAACGTGGTAAATTCTGAAGAGAAACAAGATCGCGCTCTCAGTTGTTAGCACAACAGTTATGAGCCTGATCGGAGTAAATTGTTTTCATGACTCCCATCTGAAAGTGATTAAAGGGAAGTTCTCCATAGCCGAACTGAACATTTTGAGTGGAAAATTTCACAATTTGCTAAACATACAGAAGATTCTAGAACACTCAGATTAGTAATTTAGGTAATTTAAGCAGAGTCAAATAAGATAATGTGGAGAAAAATGCTTGGCAAAATCTGCTTATAGAACCTTAACCAATTAAGATCTGAATATCAGAAAGTAATTTCGGAACAGACCCTATACTTAAATTTTCTATAATGGGATCAGTACTGAAACGTGTGGCATGAAGTCCAAGCTAATGTACACTGATATTTACATTCAGAATTTCCAGCTCATTCATTTGCAGTCAAAAGGTTTCTTAAGATGAAAAACGAAAGTAAAAGTTCAAAGAAAGAATCAAAAAAGGTGAGTTGTCTTGCAGACAGCACTTTGCTAGTACTCAGAAATCTATGCTTTATACCAGTACTAGCCTGCTAGCCTACTGCAGTCAGAGAATTTCGCCTTCATCTCAGTTTTCTCATATTTATATTCTTTGTAGAATATTTTAGTATCCGTTGAACGAAAACATCATATAAAGCCTTCAGGTTCTTCCAAGCCTTTGCTGCATCAAGCACAGAGGAGACAACAGAAAAAGCAAGCAAATGTAGTGCTTGAGAAAAAACTGCTTTTATCTAGAACTCACTTTGGCTTAACCTAGAATCCACATAGTGACCTGAAGTCTTCCATCATGAGGCTGCCATTATTTTGTCAAAGACCTTCTCTTACATAGCACCTCTAAGATAATAGATGCATTCAAGAGTATTGAAATAGAGGTATCTACAGCAAAGTACCTTAAAATTAAGGTTCATATGAAACACAGAATTATCAACAAAGGAATGCTGCAAAACAGAAGAATAGGCTCTATTCCCATCCAAAGAGAAAACTGCTAAGTAGCAGCAGATAAACATTGGGAGATCATTTACATGGCTATCAGTGTGGTATCTGTTTTCCAACATAAATTGTTTGGTAAGTAGTTTCTCAGTTGTAAGAATTTGCAATACAAAGCCTCAGCCTAGCAAGTTTCTTTTAATTTTTAAATGTACAGCATTTTAGTTCTACAAATGTTAAAAAAAACCACAAAAAACTTTACAATGTTTTTTGCGCTTATAATGATCAAAACCAACTTGATTCAATAAAATTTGGTATGCAGTTAATGTGGCCCAGTTGCTTCTGATAATGCAAATAAAATGGCCGAGACATTTAGCTTTGAGACACAGCATATGCAGTAACTGCTTTCTGTGACAAGAGTTACTACACACGCTGCAAACAGGTGTCAGGAAGTGCTGCTACAGATCACCAGTTAAGTACACACTGAGCGTAGTTCACATCCAAATGATACACTGTCATGTGTCAGTCTGCCGTCCCCGTTTCTGTTGCTACAGGGAAAGTTTTGTTTTGAACATACTATCTCCCAAAAATTACTAAGTGCAAGGCAAGGTAATGACTCAACTTACAAGCAAACAAGGAAACTTAAAAGTAGAGACTTAAACTTTGAAATCATACCAACCTGTCATGCCAGGTTTCTTGTCATAATCGTTAACTTCAGTTTAAGCTCCCATTAATACAGTTGCACTAACACACTGTGGCACAAATTACAAAATGTACCCACATTACTTTTGAATTTCCTTGACCTTGCCAGGTTTTCACATCCTCCACATTACTAAATAGTAGTTATTTATATGTAATTGATAACCATTGTACAGTTACTCCATAGCTTTACAATACTGCCCGTACTATATCACAAGCATTACAAATCCTATAAAAAAGCAGCCCCTGTAGTGGCATACAAGAATAAATTAACCGAAAAAAAATTTAGTATTACCATTTATTGGTGACAAACACTACGTTTTACTTACATTCCATGGGGAGAAAAAATTCCAGCGTAAACAATGAACTGAAGCAGTACTTAACTTGCAAGGCTATCGTGCTTTACCTGGACCATATGCAAAAAACTTTATTGCACACAGTTCAGTGCGCAATAACACAACATCAAAAGCAACACAGTTTATATATAAACATAGGTAATTTTTTTCAGCCCTACATGGAGATGTAATTAAACAGTATAAAGCACTCAAGGAAAATCAATCTGCAGTTTTAAATGCACTACATTGAGATCATATCCTGTAATGTAGTGAGCTGTGTGCCATCTACAACACACAATCCTTAAAACATAGATCAGAGATCATTTAAAGTCATGTTGCGTTCGAGTTCCCCTACCCCCCGCTCAAGAAAACTAGAAATTAACCAAAAATGATCAAACAAAGTTTAAAATTCCTAAAGTGTTTTAATTCATTCAACCGTTGGATAATTAATCTAGCTTTGTGAAAATACTGGACTTTTTAAAACGGTGGGCACACAATTTGTTTCCAGTGAAACTTTGCTATTTCAATAAAAACAAAATAACCACATACACGGATATGATCTTCCCAAGTTAGTTCACGGATAACATGTCAGTCTCAGAAGACAAAGTTTCTAAACTGTGCTATTGTTCTAGATACAATTAAGAAACTTTTAAATGAAAAATTTATAGTGTCATTTCAATCAAAACAACATAATGAAACTAAAAATTTATCACTGAAGAAAAAGCAACGGTTATGATTTAGACACTACAGTAGGTTGTAAAGACTGTAGCACTCTAAAACAGTTAGGTTACATTTAATAGGAAGCATTTGATTTTCTCTGGTGCTTTCAGGTTTGGGTCCAGTCAAAAGCCTTTTTTAGGCAGTGCTGTCCAGTGTTTGTCCCAAAGTGTTTGAGTTAGCCGGTTTGAGAAGAGGGTCACTTTCCATTTCTTGTTTCACACATCTACAAATGAGAAAACACCTGTTACTTAGCATAAGACACTATTTCCATGAATAAGATACCTCTAAATCTGATACAAAGAATTTGAGGTGCATATAACAATTTGTTTCCATGTACCTGGCCTCCATTTTTAATCAAGTAGCACTTTGTTAATTCCACTATTTTGACAGCTTATCTAAATGAAGGCTAAACTATTTATTTTTTCTTCTGGTCAAAGGGAGTAATTTGTAACCCCTCTATGTTTCTGCTGAAAGCAAGCTGTGAAACCTGTACATGGTTTACATCTTACAGAAGATTTCTAGAGAGAAAGGAGCGGCTATAACACTTAAACACACTGAAAAGTCACACTATTTACAAATACATGTAAACAAATAGTTTAAGCAGAGGCATCACAGTCACAAACACTCTGTATCACTGCCATTACATTTTATCGACTTGCTCCTGCTTAGTAATTTGCATTTGACACATGAAAATTACAAGTTGATCATAAAACCTACCCTCTCATCCTTCTGACGAAGATAACAGCCCTTGGCATTTAAACTTTTCTGGCAAAGAAAAAACCCCTCACATTTTAGTTGTTTTTAGTACATCATAGAGTTAGAGGTTTCCATTAATGCAAGGGAAAGTCAATGGTCACACTCACACAGACATTGGTCCATTTCCTGTTCTTGGCATCTCTGTGGTTTGTTGGTCCAACTCAGACAGCAACTTTAAAATATTCAATGCAGCCTAAAGAAAAGAGAAAGCATTCAGCAATTCAGTCTGAGTCCATTTCATTAATTTAGCAAAAGCAGGACTGAGGCTCGCTTGACACAAGGTAGACGTTCTAATTTTGGTAATACATATTTTTCAAGATGCATAATTATGGTGGAAAAACACAATGGTGTAGAATTTAATCTTGCGACATTAAACAATAGAACGGTGCTGTGGCTAGGGGATTCCCACGGCATTTGTTTTAGCAATGGGGAAAAATTAATTTGGCAGTACTATTAATATCGAGGAAAAAGACACCAAATTAGTAATGGCTCAAACTGTACAGAGCTTAAGATAAAGGACATTAAAATACACAGAACCAAAAAGTCCTCTGCAGAAAAAGAAAAGTTACCCAAGGATCAGAAATACAACACAGACAGGGCACGTGTGACTGCTTAACAGAAGAGTCAATGTGACATTGCTAATGCAGAAGTCATCTCCTTTGAGAACTGAAAATATTTTTCAATTTTATTCAGATCAATTTCAGGTGTACCTTTTCAGAATATCGCTGATTAGTTATGGCACATGCGTTAATGAAAGCTGAATATCTGAACAGAAGGAAGTTCTCACGTTGGCCCAGTCACAATGTTTAAGCTCCGAACTGGCTGTCCTTTTCCCTGCTACTTACTGCACTGACTTGTGTGCTTAGTCTTACAGGAGCTCTTTACAGCAGCATGTAGAGATGGGTATGAAAATGTCAAAATTAAGTGTCAAAGATCAAAGAAATCTCTGTCACATTATAGCCATTAGAAAATTACTGCAAAAACTTTTAGTATAAACATCAGTAAAATCATGTTTTCTCAAGTGTATTTACACATTGCAAACTACTACTTTAGTACTTAAGTCACCACGGGACACAAAAAGAACTAAACTCGTTTGAAATTATAGTAGACTCTGTACATATTGTTAGCAATATGTAACGTCTTTTATAGACAAAGTCCCTTAGAGTTTATAGTCTAGAAGACTTGTTCTTTCACAAAGAAATATTTCAGCTACTGTGAATAAAAGATCTTTTTTTATAAAAGGAGCTTAACAGATTTAGAGTGTCTCCTGCTATCTAATGGTGAATTACATTTCTTCCATTTTTGGATTCTGTTCCGACAGAAAGTCTGGTAACGTGAACCCACGTATTACAGTTCCCAATGAAATATCAGCCCATTCTGTTAAAGACAACAAGCTGATCATCTCTTATGTTTTAAAAGTTCCTTTTCATGCACTTTCTTTAATGTGTGCTCATGCAAATAATAAAGATGAAGCAAATGCGGTTTTTGTAGACCAAAATTGTGAGGATATATTACGTATTCTGAAGGTTATTTAGATTGCATTCTGATATTATTAATCAATTATTTCAGCAACCTGTGAAATATTAGCCAAAATTAACCAGGGAATTGTACAGCATTTAATTAATTGCCATCCAGTAGTAACATGAAACCTTGGTCTATCCGCTGCGTCCCTTAGCTCACTGAAGGCCACAGAGAAAGCATTTCAGCAACACTCATCTTACCATATCGTGGCAAGACTCTACATCCTTTCCAATTCCATGGCTGATCAGTGGTGGCTGAGAGGAACAGTTTATAAGAGATACAAACTCGTTCTTGTTATTTTTTGGAAAGTCTTTATATTCAACCTGAAGAAAAGAGAAGGATTTAGTTTTTTTTCAGCTAATAAGTACAGGAGATACATCACAACTGCTATACATTACTTGCCCATATATGAAGCTGAACCTTACTTTTAATCATTCTGTCAGCCAGTGGAACCATTTACTTTGAAGTCTGACTTCACTTGCAATGTTTTTTAGTAATCATGAGAGGTCTTCAAGTCTTCTAAATAAAAGTGGCTAGATAATAACAATTGTTGCTGGGACCTTTATTCTGATCACAGCTATCTGTATTTAAATTTCCCCATTATACTTTTTCATCCACTGAGCTCCTTCAACCTATTAATCAGAACTGCATGCAAGTTCCTATATTAAAGGCATCAAACACAAGAAAATATACAGCTCACAGCAAATGTTAATGTATGAAAGATTATTAAAAAACCTGATGTCAGATCAGCCAAGTTCAAGCTCGTATGACAATTTTCAGAAAATGCTACTTTCAATTTTATTCTTCGAAGACTTCAGAGTAACACTGAATTAAGGCTGAGGATGCAGTACAGAAATGCACATTTGAAAATTAAATTAAAAAAACTGTAAAATTCAGTACATTTCATAGGTAAAGTAAAACATTTACATGAATTTCAGTTTAACAAGCAGCTTCAGAATTCATCAGTCACCAGTAGAACTAAAAAGCTTTAGCATAACCACGTTGGACCAGTCTGGATAGCTTTAGAAGAAATCTTGCAAAGCTGAACATTTACCTGGATTCCTTGAACATTGGAAAGAAAGTCCAGCTGCTCAGAGGGCCTAGTAAGTGGTCCGTGGGGTACGTGGCCTGATGAGTTGTTATTCTTTAATATGGTCTCAGCAGTAGGAGAAGTACCACCATACAACAGCTCTCTAGCAATCATTGCTGTTACTGTAGCCTTGGCAGGGTTTGGGGCTGCCCTATTGAAATCTTTGGTGTGGTGTCCTTGATTGGCTCCTACAGCTTGTGCAACCTCAGGGACCATGGGAAGAATTCCAGCAGGAAGCTGTTGATGGCTGAGATAAGGCATCCTAAACTCATCTTCTTTATTACCTGAGAAAAGAGAGGCACATACTAAACAGATGCTAGCTATTTCTATGAGGCTTTCTGCAGGCACATGAAGGCATATACAGGCATCAAAAGCCACTTTTGAAAAAAATAATGTTTCAAATGACTTTTGAAATACTAAAACTTAGCAAGCTTAATTCATCTTTGCTGGGTCAGAGATTCAGCGTCATCACGACAGACTTTGGTTATTGAATAAACGATTCAGTGAACAAAACCCTCCCCAGGTGCAGATTTAGTCTGCAGGCCAGCAGTTGCACACCTCTGCTCACTACAGTGTGTTAAATGACACTGTTGAAGGGACTGAGAAACATGTCTTACATACACACACATGCCAACAGGGCCATGCTCCTTGCAGAAAAGTTACTTACTAGTTGAAGTCTCTTCAGAGCCTGGCTCAAAGAAGGTTACTTTTCTTCCATCACCTGGTTTCTTCACTGGTGTCTTAAAAATGAAAGAAAAAAAGGCAAAATCACAACATCCCTTTAAAACTTTTTTTTTCTTCAAGTTTGTTAAAGTTTTCAAGATGTAGATGATCTGACTATTCAAAATTTTACTGAAGAATTTATTATTCAGAAACCTCAATTACTACATAGCTACCAAGAAAAGACAAGTTCAGCGATTCTTACTCACTGAATGACTAAAACTACAGAGTAGTGAAGTGGTAGTAGGAACACAGATACTGATAACTAGATACCATAATAAAGCCAATTACACTAACATTAGTTAGTATTGCTGAAGACGATGTACTGGACAGAAATGAGTATAGATGTGGAAACAGAGGAAGGTAAAACCAGACTTGCTATTTTAACTCCCTGGTAACATCTGCTGAATTAACAGGAGAAGGCAAGGCTCTTTGCCTGCTGAGGGACCCACCCAAGGACTCTAACAAACTTTCGACTGCAACTGGTGATAAGGCCATGTAAATCTATTCCTACCACAACGCCCTACAACCTACAGATCTGCAAGCTTAAGACCAAATACATCATTTATCGCAGGCTCTGAGTCATTCTATAAAGAAGAAATACATTTGATTATCCTTCTGACGAGACCTTAATTTACTTGCAAAATCAAGACCTTAACGTATCCAAAACGCACTATTATTTAGAGAACAGTTACCTCAACACAACTGCCTCCTGGCTAGGGCAGAAAGCATGCATATACGACACTGTTACTGCCTTGCAAAGCTGCTATTGTTTCAACTCACTTTTTGCCGTAGTAGCAAACAGTGGCTGATTCTTAAAGATTTTTACCTTCTCTTCTGTCTTTAATGCTGGCTTTGGAGGTTGAGTTTGAGGGACTTTGAAACCTAAAAGTTCCAACATATTTTCAGCTGCATTGCGTTTAGCAACTTTTTTGTTCGTGCCCATTCCTTCAGCTGTGTGTACACCAACTTTCACCTGGACAAAAGAAGAACAAAAACCAAATCAATTCTTAAACAGCAGTATAAAGATTTCCTTATTAGTGATCTGTGTCTCAAGCGTGCTAGGAGTCACAAAATAGTTCAAATGATCGTTATTCTAAGCAAGTGTCAAGTTGTCATTTATTATCAATGATCATTGCCCTCCAAGCACAAAAAACCCTAACAGAAGTCACACAAACAACTATATTTCATCATCTCAGCAATGATCATTGCCCTCCAAGCACAAAAAACCTGAACAGAAGTCACGCAAACAACTGTATTTCATCATCTCACCTCGGCAACAGACTAACAGACTAAATACTCAAAACTAGTATCACAGCAAGACAAATTTTCCAAGCTGAAGTTACAGGTTTAGCAGATTTACTAGTGTAATGGAAAGAAAGCAACTAACTTTCCTGTCTTGGCCAGGATAGGAGAGGGGTCTGGAGAGCACACTGAATTATTAGAGGCTGGTAGATACTCAGTATTAAAAATACTACCGTGCTGTTGGGATTTGCAATGCAGAGCACAGAAAGTGCTGCACTCTAAAGCAATACATGAAAACCCAGGGAAAGGAGGAAATTAAGGACACTTAGATACTCAGTATTAAAAATACTACCGTGCTATTGGGATTTGCAATGCAGAGCACAGAAAACGCTGCACTCTAAAGCAATACATGAAAACTCAGGGGAAGGAGGAAATTAAGGACACCCAGGTTCATGTTAGTAAGTCCTACATTACAAAACATAAGAAGCCCAGTATCTCTTAACAGAATATTAATATTCCTGTTAATTAAAACATTAGGCAGTTACAACAGACTTCTGGTGCACTGTACAGTTTTTTTTAAACATGATTCAGATCACTGAAAAGCAAAAAAAAAAAAGTCGTAACTAAATGCAACTAGATGTTGTGATTCAGATCACTGAAAAGCAAAAAAAAAAAGTCGTAACTAAATGCGACTAGATGTTCTCAAGTGAACATACAAACCTGCATGACAAACTCCCTGCGCCTCGGCAGACCGCGTTCTGTGATGAGCATGTACTCTGGTTCCTTCTCTTTCTTTGCCTGCTGTATCTGGGCAAGTCTGCTAATGGGATTCATTCCTTGACCATATTCTGGACTTGTTTGCAGCTATGTAGAATAACGATTAGGAAATAAGCCAAAGTTTGTGAATATTTGGTTTAACAAACAAAATACTGCATGCTACTGAATTCACTGATCTGTACAGTTTAAAAACCCTGAAATAAAAGTTGCTTAATGAAACACTGTCACAGCCAAAGAGAAATACTCAATTTATTTGGCTCTGCTGTCACAGTTGACCACATATAACCTACCACTGGTAGTTGTTTTACAAGTTCTAATCCTTCTATATTAGGAGGGACAGGCTTGCAGGAGAATTTCCACAAGCAAAATCACGCAAAACCTGAAGCCATAAAGTCTAAGGCTTGAAAGTCCGAGCTTGATTTTTATGTGCCACTCGTTATTTTATAAGATTTCTCTTTCAGTTTGAATTTACTGATAACTGTTGTAAAAGTGGTGTCAGAACCCCATTTAGAGTGGGAGCAAAATATCATTTCATTTGTAGCACCAGACTGCTGATAAATGCTGAGCGGCTGGAGTGTTTATAATTAACTCAGAAATGTCTCTCATCTGATGATTAGTTATAACAGCCAGATTTCCAATCTGCTTGTCTCTTACCTTCACTATTGATTTTGTTTTCTTTTTGATTCGTGGCTTCATTTTCTCAACTGTAGGAAGAGGTGGCAATTTTTTCAGTTCTTCTAGGACTGCTATTGCAGCATTTTTCTTTGAGATCTTCTTGCTCTTTCCTTCACCTTCACCCATGAATTCTCCAACTGACACCTTGGTTACAAAGCTTTTCATATGGGGAGGACCACTTTCCTTAGTCACCTGTTTCAGAGGGAAAAACTGAGTGAAAGCGTGATAAACACTTATTAAAAATGGTAAGGTACATTGTTTATAGCAAATTTCTCTCAAGAACTATGGATAAAGAGATTTTAGATTCTCATACACACTCTGATAACATAAACCCACCCAAATAAACATATATTTCAAAAAAATCAGATGCAGCAAGCAGTAAACACTATTAACATATAAGTCATTAACCCATCTTATTTAATTTATTTACTCTTTCGGTATTAAAACATGACTGTTCTATTTCATCTGTGTGTACTTCCACACAGTTAACATCACCTCATTAAATACATCATGTTATGGTTACAGAACATTACAGAGAGATCAGTTCTTTAGGATCCAGCATTTTAGTTCAGAAATCAAGAATTCTGGAGACATCCAAGAGATAGCTGCCTACTATAGATTTACTCTTTTAACTCCATTCATGACACATCATATTTCAAAATATCCTTGAAGTCAAAAAGTAAGAATGAATTAAGAACTTCCACCCACAACTGGCTTTGTGTAACAGTATATTTTTACCAGTGATGCTCAGGCTAATCTGCAATAATTGAAGCTTCATGTAAAATTTCATAGAACAGTTTTAGAAGCAATTTAGTTACACACAATTGCGTTTTCTTACTATAATTATTCAGATAGTTGACTTAAATGTTACTCTGCCAGCTCAGGAAAGCAGCATGATAAATTAATATTTTAGTGAAACAGAGATGCTCCTATGGAAGCTATTGATTTAAGATAACTAAAATGATCAAGGAGGGGCAAAGAGGCAGCAAGCAGCCAGGCCAAAGGGAAAGGAAAGTAAGATGCACATGAGGTCACCTCATGGCAAGAAAAGAAACCTACTTGTGAGATACTGTAACTTGTGAGTAGTCCACATCAGTGCTCAATTAAGCAAATACTTCCATAAATGTCCTTCAGAGTGAGCTATACTCTTTTGCCTCGACTCTGCACATCAATTTTCTAACCCTTAATGTGAGATTGTGTTTTGTTTCTTCACTGTAATACTGATTTTTTCAAAAAGTTTGGAAAAAAGATTGCACAGCATAGCTGTTCACTCATGTTATGATTTTAGTGCATGAATTTGTGAACAGGTGGATTTTTCTTTTTTCTTCACTTTACCATATAAACTCCGAGACAATCAGGGTGACTGTCAAAGGTAGAAGTGTATTCACAACTAACAAGACATGTTAAAAGTCAGTTGTTTGAGTATCTAGAAAAGACTCAATGTGTACCCTTAATATTCTAGTAAAAACAAATCTAGAGCTTGTAAAATAAACATACCTCAAAATTCACAGGCAAGTTCCTTTTAAGTGCAATCTCAAAAACTTGGCTTATTTCAGATTTATTGAGATTTTCATCATCTGGTTCTTTTCCGTTAACCTAAAAGAAGCATACTCTATTTAAAATAAAGATCCTATTAAATTGAATTTTATCCATCCAAGCAGTTTACTGAACTCTCAAAATTTTAAGTAGTCTAACCTTTACTGTCGTTTTATGTGAATGTGTAGAAATGCAGCACACGCACTACAGAACTGAAATTTAAGAAGCTCATTTAACGTGTATGTGTAAAAGCTAGCAAACCTTTATATTTTCATGTGCTTGTTGCAGGAAAGAACAAATGGAATAAGGGCCAATAGGTTTAAAAATGTATTTCTAGAAAAACAAACTGAAGTGTTAAATGAACTGATTTCCAAATGGAAGTACCTTTATGAAATACAGTTTTCATATGCTGATTGGACATTTGTACCAAAAGCACTAAGACAGTATCAGATAAGAGAAAGGGCAGGAAAAATAAAGATTCTGAGAATGGGACCAATATGAATAAAGGGTGGCTAATTAGATGCTGGCACAGTCCTGTCTTTTAACATAGTTCCTTGGAAGTGCTTCATCTACAGATTTTTTTTTCTCATCTGAAGAACATACTATCAGGAACTTGCCATAAATCAAATGGTGTACATCTCTGAGAACTTACACCTGCTAGGAGGACAGCAGTGCCAGGTGAAGCTTACCTACAGGCACTTCTACGTATCTCCAGGTAAAATTTTGATTGTGATTCCAAAAATGTCTTCACTGATGTAGGGATCAACATGAACTAAGAGGCATGGTAACAGCAACAGAGAAATTTTAAGACTAAGTGTCCAGCAGTGACATTGGAATGATTATGATAAAGATGAAAGCAACAATTTCACCAATTATATCATGCCACAGTACTAGTTACGCAATCAGGTAACAAAAATAATTTAAATATTTTATTGGAGCAGTGGAAATATGCTAGAGAGCTCTCATTGATTAAAACTAGTTTTGATGGTAGCAAGCATCCCCGATGTCTGTTACTAACAAGTTACATTAAAACATGAAGGAAATGTTTTCCACCAGTTAAAGCAGCCTCTTCCCATCTCGGAACAAAATATGAGTAAAATTAATCTCTGGTTTTCACTCCTCCCACTGTCTCATCAGATTTCACACTGTTCTTATGGGTTGACCTTGTATTTCAGCTTCGAGTTGCAAACGTTTCAGAAGCGCGTATATAGACTGAATACAGGAGTCAAAAGTCTTGATCATATTCTAAACCATTTTCTAAAGCAATTGGTAAGTTCCAAAGGAATAGAACCATATATCCAGAAAAAATACTTGAACTACTAAGGTCTTATTTTACTACAGTCTAAGTGTTACAGCAAGTTTACTACCAGCATCTCTAGGAATGATCTGTCACTACTTTACTGTCAAAACATTAGCGCATTCGTTTTAATTACAAATGTTTTCCCCCTTCTTGTAATTTCATATATATTCTAGTTTTTCAAATTCCAACGTTTTTCCTTGCAAAGATGACCAGAACTTCTCTTTATTGGATTAGACTTTTTCCATTTAATATCCTTTCAAAAGAATACAAATAAACAGTATTAAATTATTTGTTATATTATGGTGTATATTCTTGACCTATTCCAAGTCTGTTCACACGGTGTAAAACACAGGTACTTTACTTCAATACCCATCTCTAAAAAGAGTAAATTAATAGCAAAATAACAATTAACAGACAACAGCTATTTTACCTATTATTTTTGCCTCCAGTTCCGGATCAGTTTATTTTATTAATCAAGAACAATTTTACACACATGCTCTCTCTCCTTCTCTTCCCCTGCACACCTCCAGGCAGATGGTCTATAAAGTCTGCTTGTAAAGTAGTCTGTATGCCTGCATAGACTAAAGTCTCCAAGGAATCTATGCCTCTAAATCAGAATGAGACCATGGCTCTCATCAAATTGTTCAAATCCTTCCCTAACAAGCGAAAAAAAGTCACGAAAGGGAACAGAAGTGATAAATTAAAAAACTCCCAAGCAAACTGCAAAAGTAATTACTCCTTTGAGAGGGCTTTGCCCTTTTCCAGGAACTCTTTCAACACACACTTCCTCAAAGACTGCTTATAAGCAAATGATGAAAACCAGTGGAGTCGCTGATTCGGACTACATCGGTTTCAACTTCACTATCAGTCTATTTGCTCTCATGTTAAGAGTATAAAGAGCAGCTGATATTTACCAAATAAATTGGCGAAAAAAAACACAGAAGCAATTCTAGTTTTAATATTTTCAGGCGAAAGTTAGAATTTCTGTCTAAGAATTGTGCTAGAAAGCATAGTTGTCTACATTTTCTAAGCTTTATATTGGTGCTTGATCATCTCTGTCTTTGAATGTGCGAAGTACCCTCACTCTGGAGCTTTGTCAGTGTGTCTCAACTCCAGTCGGGCTAATTTAGGTTGGAAGGGTCTTTTGGAGGTCTACTACAGCCTCCCACTCAACGCTAGAGCGGACTGTAAAATTCAGCTGGGTTGTTTAGGCAGGACCTTCTCCAGTTGAGAGCTAATATTACTGAATTTTTATCCTGCCACTTGCTTCTAGATTTGCCGTCTGAGAAGGTATAGGAAATGGTCACTTTTACCCTTAAAGTCTAATTTTTTTATTCAATGTTTTCTCCTTAAGCACTGAATATTTTCTAATTTAAAAATACAAGAGTAAAATCTTGTAAATACAAAAATTGGTAAAATAAAAAAATATATAAAAATTTGCAAAATTACACCCCCTCAAAAAAATACAAGAGTTCAAGTCTAAGCATATTCTGTTTACACACACACAAATGGGATATACAAAAATAACATCTAAAAGGAAAATTACTGGCAACATCAAATGAAAGGTAGGAAGTATGAGGATTATGTCTGCCTGTGAAATCTTAATTTGCCTCCATTGTATACACACATTATAAAACAATATCATCTCTTATGATCTTCCACTACCATATCCTTCAAGGATCTTGCCTCACTGAACTCAAGAATGAACAGTGCTCACTTAATGGTAAAATCTTCCTTATTTTATCTTCATCTTGTCTAGTACAAAACACTGTTACAAAACCAGCAATTCCCTCAGACATTCCTAAAACTAGAATATTTGAAAGCCACAAATATTAATGAACTTAGCATTTAAGTACCCAACTTTAAATTAAGATCTGATTTATCCAAGTGCTTATTATAAATCAGTACTCTGTTCAAAGGATTGCTCTGCTTAAGCATAGCTGCATTTCTTGCTGTTCATTTTGTAGACAAGTCAAACAAACAGAAAAATCAAATGACAAATACATCTTTCTTGTGAAAGTTTAAGTGACTTGCCCAGCATATGTATAGCAGGGTCAAGACAGCATTCAGCTCCCAGTGAGCTTTCAAGTCTTTTATTCATAAAATAATTCTCCCTTCTTGCAATCTCTGTCATCATTCACAACAGTATTTCCCTTATGTCCTTAAAAAAAAGGAAAAGGAGACACACTATAGGCTCACATCCTTTATCTCTTGATTTACACCCCTTACACTGAACAAGACACCCTGTAGAAAAGAATACATGGTCACGTAAGGGCAAATGCAGTGTTGGTTCTGAAGACCTCACGTTACTCAACTTTAAACACAATTCTACAAATATTCAGAAAGTCACTTGTACAGAAGCCTAAAAAAGTGAACAATAAAGAATTCAGTTATATGTGATTCTACTATTTTCTGCAGAGTTGGACTCCTTGGGTCCAGGACACAGAACTTTGGTACCTGAGGTGGGAAAATTGCTGATGACAGTAGGTCATCTTTTACAAGGTGAGTGCAAGAAGAAGATATTATGCATCACTGACACAGAGTGACAATACTCAGGAATTTGGGGTTCCCCTGCACTGAAGGGGAAAATCCCACTCAGGCTTGACCTCTCCTGCATGAAGACCTCCAGCTTGTCCCTGACCATACTCTGCCTACGACCAGTTCTAGATTTCAGTGCAGAACTCATCTCCACTCTTTCGGCTTCTATTCCCAGCACCACTCTCTTCTCCCCAATAACATCTGCAATCCCTTGACTCTTGGCAGCCTCCATCAATCAATCATCTACATTCCTCCAGGAGAGCTTTCTGTTACCTGAACCACTATCACCAGTGCCTCGCCTCTTCCCTGAACCATCAGATCCAGTGCTTCTGCCTTATTATCTGGGCAATGCTCTCCCCCACAAACACACTTGGAAGTTTTAACTCAGTGTCTCTTGGCTTCACAACACAATTCCCTCAGTCCTCTTGCTCTGCCATTCCTGGTAGTTCCCAGCTATTTTTTTCCCCCAGTCTAAGGCCCCTTGTTACCTTCTTGTCCATTTTCCTTCTTTCTCAGCTCATAGCCACATTCCGTATCCAGCAAGTTCTCATGTTCCTCAGATTGTAAGTTATCACTCTAACCTCTGCTTCCTGTTCCTCACCCCTCTGGCAATGTCCTAGTCTCTCTTGCTTCTAGGTTTGTATTGCATGGCCTCCTCCTCCTCAACATGAGCTAGACGCCAGCATGGAGTACATCAATAGATCTCTTGCTCTTAGTTCTAACATCAAGTCCTCATAACTCAGACAAGTATAACGAGCCCATAAAGGAAAGACTAAATACTCTCTTGGTAGTAGTCTTTGGCCAAAACAGTCGGCCAATGCATATCGAAAGGGTGCATCTGGACAACCAGCCCCAGGAGCTACGAGTAACTTGTGCACACAATGAGACCTTCTGCCTAAGTAACTTCACAGAAAAGGCATGGAAAAAAAAGCAGTAACAGGGTCTTGAAATGGAAAGTGCTAGGCAGTCATAGATATATGGAGGGGTAAAAATTTTGCTTCTTATATTCATATCAAAATGTATGTATGAGTTTACTACTTCCATGAACTTCCTGCTCTTCTAGAACTTCCATAGTGCTTTCCAAAATCATGTAGGAATTTTGCCCAGGAAGCAAACTCATGTCTGATTTCTATGTTGCCCATACCAGAATGCAAGTACCCCATTTACACACTTCTTCAGAAGTTTGTATATGATCTGTACCTGATAAGATATAAGTTCCTATCTATGCTTCCAATGCTCATATCTGACAGAGGTCTATAGCATTGCTGCAGAAAAATATGACAGCAAAAGAATTAATATAACTTCATTTCGGAAAACTCTAGTTCCATAAAAATTTATGATTTTAAATCAAAGCGTTTCTATTGATACAAGTAGGTCAACACTACTACACAGAATTAAATTTCACAACTGTCATCTTCCTCTCAATGAGGAAAAAAATCTACAACGTATCTCAGTTTACCTTAGCAATTTATGCTCACAACACTAAGATTAATTCCCACCTCTGGTTTCTCAGGCAAGGGCTCGTTCTGCAGAACTTTCAGTGCTTTAGCAGCTGCATCGTGCTTAGCAGCTTGTCTTGTTCTTCCTTTCCCATGAAACTGCTGCCCTCCGATCGAAAGCTCAACTTGATAAAGTAAGGGGCCAACAGGAAACGGGTAAAAGTACCTGCAAAGAGAGAGACTTAAATAAGCAAATAGTTGGGCCTACAAAGTAAACAGAAACAGAAGTTATACGCGGATGAATCTCTTGGATATCAGTAACCACGACTCAGCACTGAAGCACTAGTATTAAAAAGCCAAATTTTGATTGAGAGTCTTAAGATTTTAAGAGAAATCTTTGAAACACAGTATCAGCAGTTCTTGTTCTACACACAAACATGATTCTAACCAACTAGAACAGAGAAAGACAATGTAACTACACTTTTATAGCCTTGGCAGGCCAGGAAGTTTTGGATTCTCAATTCCTATGCCCATATAAAATTCTTTAAACTGAAGCTGTAACTTAAATAGCTTTAGAAAAAGCATCAAACTGTTTTCTTCACTTTTGCTTTTACGCAGAAAGGAAACAAAAAATATTTAGCTAATATTTAGCTATTCATTCCATGAAGTTGGCTATATCCAAACGTCCTCAAAAACACTTCATTTGGTTCAGTTCCCTTTTTCCTTCCCTTCCTGTCCCCCTCAAAGAAAAAACAAACAATCTTGAACATGACAAATTACAGATATTAATGGGCCATACTTATCAAAACCTTTTCCTCAAAGTGACTGTGTTTCAAGCTGAGCATCCCTTGAAGGGACGTTATGTTTTTAGCTGGTTTTCAGAAGATAGCAGCAAAGCACTCGGACGAAGAGAGCAGAAGTTCAAAGATATGAGACTGCAAACCCAAAAAATTAAACAATACATACCGTGGAGGATAAGTACCACCTCTCATAGTATAGTTGTAAGTGGATCTCATCCCTGTGTAAGGATCGATGGGTTTGTACATAGGTTTCTTTCCCAGCTTCATGCAAAGTGCATTTAACTCCACTGTGGGGGTTACACTGTCTAAATAAAAAGGAATATAAAAAGAGTTGTCCAGATGTCACCAGAGACCAAACCAATCTAAACTCTTACGCTGCCTCAAAGAGGGAAAAACGAGCTGAAGTCTTCCCTTGTGCAGTATCTTCAATGAACGAATTCCGAATAGAACTGCTAATGAACACAAAGAAAATACATCTATATGATGCATATTAAGTATGCAGTTAGTACAGTTGTGACAAATCCTGTTACGAAAAAAAGTGAAATTGCTAGGGGCTTTTTTTTCCCCCTCCTTTTTCTCCTCCTCTCTTTAAACATGTGAAGCTACTGATTTATTTATTTGTTCAGCATATCTAACAATGTGGTCTGCAGAACACCAATTTCTCTTCCCCAAAAATGCTTTTAAATTAAATTAACTGCCTTGCTACATATATCTTCTGTTTCTGTTGTTTACCAGAATGATCAAATATTTCTCTTTGTACTCAATGACCTAAGAAGGGTTTTTATGACTCTTCACTTTCAAATTGCAACTGGCCTTTTCAAAAGGAAGGTATTTTGCTACTGAGGGCTAGAAACATTTCTCTCTGTGCAGATGCCGTGTGGATGAAGAACGGACTGACTGACTATTCTCATTTGAGACGAACAGTCACGTAAATGGTAATTTTTTCTATCACAGGCCTCACTGGCTTGAAATTCAGTGTGTGCTGTAGTACAACAGTGTTTTGTTATAAGGCAATTGCCAAAGGAAAATGCAATTATGGAACAGATTCAAAGACAAAATAAGTAATTGCTAGCTTCTAATATTTTCAGTGTTGACTGTACAAAGCGTTTCTAAAGAATTTAGGTGATATTAGAATACAACTGGCATAAAAGATAAGTTTTAACCTTTGCTGAACATATTCTATCATATGCTATCCTAATAGCTTTGCAGGCAAGTGACTAAGAGTAAATGCAAAACAATCACACATGCAGCTGAGATGTGAAGCTAGTTCACACTGAATTTTACATTTTAAATATATCTTAAAAGCAATCTTAGTAAAGTAAGAAGTTCCCTAAACATAGCTAACGACACCTTAAATGCTTTTATACAAATCAACATCTATTTCTCTTTAAAGCAGTACAAATGATGCAAATTTCAAAGTTCTGATCCAATCCTCATCACAAATGTAACAGTTTTTGGTTTTATTTGTTCATTCTGGGCTTTTTGTGATTTTTTGTTTGGTTTGGTTTTTTAACTTACATTTCTAAAGAAATCTTTATTGTCAAGCTTTTGAATTATCCTTTCAGAATTAGCAAACACATTCATCTGCCCATGCAAAAGATTATTGCTTGCTGTGACCAGTTCTCATGTGGTGTGTTTTTTTTTTTTGTGGTGTGGTTTTATTTTTTTACTTAGTTTTCTTTTTTTTTTTTTTTTAAGAGTAGGATAAACATCTTTTCCAGGACTCCACCAAGTGTTACAATACAAAACAGTGAGTTAAGCAGTGAGTCAGTGGGTTCTTGAAGTCTGAATGACTTGATAGAAAAACACTATACTTCAACTTGTTAATATGATGATTTTCTTTTTAATGTCACCTACAATGATCAAAGATTAAATCAAGATGATGTTCTCACAATTACTGTTGTTAAATATGCAGAATCATTGTTTCTATTCATCCTTATGCAACTTTAAAATACATATCAAAAGACAAAAATTAATTTTTTTACTTATTTTTAAAAAAAAATCAGTTCGTTGTGGCATATACCTGGATTCTTGCCTTCACTACGAGATGGACGAGCTGTAGGCTTAGGGAATTTTGTCCCTTCCAAAGCTTTGGCAGCTGCTGCATGTTGCGCTTTTTTAATACTAGTTCCTTCAGCTTCCCAGTGCTGGTCCCCAAGAGTCAGTTGCACTGTAAACACCTCAAAAATAGAAAACACAAGTTTTAGTACGAGCTGTTTCAGAATTCTCATAATTTATTAGGCTCCCTTACACAAAACGAGTCTTTTAGTGATGCAAAAGTTGCGAACATGGTAGTCAAAGCTTTCCTCAACTACCATGTCATCTCCAGATTTTAAATACTTTGGACTTTGATAGGATTTCCCTGATTACTGAACTAAGAATTTCACAATAATTGTAGCTAGAAATTATGCTGCATGAGATCATATAGACTAAAACCACAAAAGACACGACGCGTATAGAGATGAGAGCTACATGGATAGCTTGTATGCCAACATTACTCTGAACAGCACCTTGAAATTCAGACTTTTTTTATTCCACATAACTGAATTCTTGCTTTAATGCTGTGGGTTTTGGGGTTTTTAAGTGATATTTTTCAGCAGTTTGAAGAAAGATAAGTTCACATTGCAGCATAAAAGCTCTTACATGTCCACAGGTGAGCACAAGCCTATCTGATTATAGAGCAAAGCTCTGTGGTGATTCTTTTTAAGTATGTGGGATAAGGAAGGATATATATTGCCCTAAATTTTCACAAATTAATTGGACAACAGCAAGACCAGGTCTCCCTGGTAATTAAATGAAGTTTAATTTCAATCAGAATGAAAACACAAGTGAACAGATGCTCTGAATGTTATCCCATACTTTTTGTAAATGCAAACCTTGCCTCCTTTGCACATTCAAGCTGACATTACACATTTTGGACAAAATATTTTAGTTCTAAATATTATTCAATTCCAAGGCAATTCCTCTAACATACAAACACACACTCTTCTGGGAAGCACCTTAAGGAGACAATGTCAGATTAAACAGACACATCCCAGGTTGATTTTCCTTCTATGCCTTGACCTCAGTTCTCACACAGTAGAGATCTTCCAGGAGAATCAAAAAGTTTAATACTGCTAAAACTCCCTTCCTCAATGTTCTCTGAAGTAACACAAACTGCTGGTATATTTGCTGTATTCCTTAAAAACTATCTCTCTGCATATGAACAGAACACAAAACGAATTGTGTATTACTGAGATTTTGACACACAAGACACGCCATGATATGGGATCCACACCACAACCTGGTCTGCCCTGGTATTCCTAATATTCCCACTGCAAAGAACTAAAGAGTCTTTTGCTAAAGTAACTGTTCCAGAACAGATGAATGTTCAGTGCTGTTGAATCATATTGTACCTCAGGCATTAAAGAACATACACCAATATCCTTGTTTTCCAAATATCAGGCAATTAGGATAGAAAGGTTCATTTTATTTACAACAAAAACAGAGCAACAGTAAGGCAACATTCAGTTGTGATGTGCTCAAGAGAGAACAATTCTTACAATTAAGTAGTAAAACTTATTCTGGGCATATCAACAAATATAGTATGTGTATATGTACCTCACCAACTACACAGACACAAAAGCACTACAACTCCTCATGTAGTACTTTTCCTAAAGAAACATAAATCTTCCTGCATCTCATGAGATAAATGGCACTAAGAAACTATTTTCGTCTTTTAAAGTTGGTGGGATTAACCTCAAAATATTAAAATGCACCACGGGAAGAATACAAAAAATTTGCAGAATAGGCAAGGCGTAGAACAAAATCTTAACATCATACTAGAAAGTGACTGTATAAAGATCATCCACATTTAATATAAAATTTTTTAGCAAAGGCTACAAGGGACAAACCTTGCTTAACTAAATGAAAGTCAAAGTCAAGCATCTCATAATGGAGCTAACGTAAACTCTCTAAAAAGCTAGTAGTTTCAGGTAACAGGCAAGTTCCGCCTTTATATACTTTGGGAAACCAACTTTTTAGTATTCATGCAACAGCTTCACACTTCCCTACCATCAGTATTTTAGTGAGCTTCCCATTCCTCTCCTGAAAGTGAAAGCGCATGAACAGCAGCAATAACAAACTTATATGAACATTTACCTTAGAATGAGCTGGACCTTGCTCACTCAAAAGCTTATACTCAGGCTGAATCTTGTTGAAACGGGCTAACTCATTCACAAGACACATTGGGGTTTTCTCTTTGGGGTTTGCCATGTTTGAAGGAGCTGAAAGATTACATAAAATCCGATAAATGAACAAGCAGCAATGAACACTACGACAATTTTTAATTAAAAAAAAATTATCTCATTGGCTTAGAATTTAGTTGTCTGCAATACACCACTTCTGAGAAAAAATTTGCTGGAATAGACAGCTCTGCTCTTTAGCCAAACTGGCGGCAATCTACTGAGCTTTGGGATATCCGAGCAATGTGCATGCCTAGAAGACAGCATCATTAAATTTGATTTTTTAACGCAAGCCAGAACTATGAAATTAGGAGACTCCTGCATTTGGCTTAGTACTACCTTATGTAGTACATTTCAAGAAGCAAATCTAAGTATTCATCATGGTCACTTGCTTTGAGTAATTTCAGAAAGTTAGTTAACTTCTTTTTCCTTCTCCTATTTTTCCATATGATCTATTTTTATTTATAACTTTTTATTCACTCTATTATATTTTATTAGCACAATATATTTATCATTAAGCTGGTCATAACAGAACTAAAGATAATAGAACTAGATAAAGAATTTCAGATAACACATACATGAGGGAAATGTCACGCCAAACTATAAACACTGAGAATACACAGACTTGTTAACAGACACTTAATCTTACCTGCAGCTGCATTGGTGGACGTAACTGATGCAGAGGGTAAAGCAGAGTTTTGGATAGGTCTACCTGCATTTTCAGAGGGCAAAGAACTAGTAGTAGAAGGAATACTCAAAGGCTGTGCAAGAGATGGGGTTTTATTCAATATTTGACTCCCTGCAAGGGCAGCAGAAGGATTCTGAATTTGAACTTGAGACATGTTCACTTCCAACCAGAGCAAATTACTGTAGGTAAACAGCTTTGAATGCAGGCAAACTCAGTGTGATGAAGCCAAATTGCTGACCTAAAACATAAAGATGAAAAAAGATTTTACTAAATATTTAGCGTTCTCTAACCATCTATTGAAATTATTTCTCCGTTAGCAAAAAGAGGAAAAAGCATGCAATCAAGCATCCACTGTTTCCATTTTGATGCCATAAGTCGCTTACACATGCAGTATTACATATTACAATCTAGATGCTCTGTCATTTAAGTTTCACATTTCTTTAATTTACGAAAGAAAGTGTACAGAAGCTTTATTTATGCTTGCTCATTTAAGATCCCATCTGTTTGCCCCATCAATGAATCCACTTACAATGCAAATCCAGCTACTTAAACTGACAGCCACTGCTTATACACTAAACAAAGAGCAACTTTCATGAACAGATTAAATTTCATGCATTCTACCATTTGAAGTTTTTAACTTGAAGGGCAAGCAGTAAATGCAGTCTTTACAAAACAACTATTTAGAGCATGGGTGCTTTATTATAATAATTTTTTTTCCCCCCAGGATCACTAAGAAGAACGCCTAACCAACCATTTATGAGGAGAACACAACTGGTGTCCAGCAGAAAATGCTGAAGCAGCTACGACTTGGAAAAGGGAAGGTGTAAGAGTTCATAAACTTTATGAGCTACATGAGCTTTGAAGTTTACTTCTATTTAAGACAAAGAGTCTCAGTCACAGTTCAAGCACCGGTTTAGAGTTATTTGGGCTTGCAACACTGTAAACAACTGCTGAAAGTGCTCACAGGCATCTACCTTCATTTAAGAAAAAACACCTCCAAGCAATGAACCTGCACCAGTCAACGTGAAGCATCGTGATAGGTCTTTCCTCCTCCAATAAATTAATATTAGATTTCTCTTACACATGAATGCAACGTTATCTTCACACTCAGACAGTTAAACCTAAATATACACCAACAGGTTGCCAGTTTGAAGGCTGTCATTGCTGCCAGAGCTCAGCTGCTCATATCCGCTTACGATCCACATATCAATTTATTTATTAAAAATAAACGTTACAGCCAAGTAAATACATTGTACAAGGAAAGGCATGCACACATACACCAGTCACCTACAGATTTTATCAGGGCAGCAAACAAAGGCTCATTCTTTCACAATTTATAGATGAAAAGAAGAGAAACCACTGCCTCAGACACCACCAGGGAGCTATTAGTAGCAACACAACTCCAGTAGTGCTCTGTAAGCTTCAAATTCTGAACCTGTGAATGGACTTCCAAATGTACGAGGAGCAGCAATGAGTCAGAGCGAAGTTTTTAGCTAGTTACTGACAAAACAAGCCTAAGAGGAGAACCTAGGTTACTACGTTCATGGATGCAAAGACTTACTTACGTATTTAAATAAGAGAAAAGAAATAACAGATACACCAACAAATCTACCATCTGGAATATTTTTACTCTGAAAAAACATCATAAACATGTCAGGCTTCTACTATCAGTTGGATAACTTTGTTTTTTTACTAGAGAATGAAATTAGTTCAGAAAACCTATACGTAGATTATACTCAAATCAAATCCTGTATTTGACTACTGAATTTGCAGAAGTTACACATCGGGTGCATCGTAACCATGAAAAAGGTATTAGGGAGTCTATCTAACGGAACTTCAAGAAGTTGTAAGACAAGGAAGAAAAGTATGTAGAATAAGACTCCGGGGTAATGCTTTTATAACCACTGTTTCATTCCCAGGAGCATCACGAGAAACACTGAAGATTTTCAAACATAATACAACAATAATAATTGCCTGAAAAAGACTACAAAG